TGAAGCAAAACCACTGCAACTTTAATCCTTCATTCAAGGTCAGCATTAGCGGAATTTAGCTAACTTGTATCACTACAGGATCATGCTGATATAAGAGATAGATCATAAGAGCTGATGCATACTCCCAAGTAACAGCTCCCCATCCCCTTTTACAGTGGTTAAAAGGTACATTTTCCATACCCTTACTCTTCAGGGCATGAACCAACAACATTAAGTGAGAGGGTTAAGATGAAACTTCCCGCTGAGGGCAAGTTATTCCATATCTGTCCATTCAGGGGGGTTTGGAAATATCTGACCAATGTCAAAGACTGCGAATACTCTGTAAAATGGATAGATGATCTAATCTGCTATAACAATGCCTATTTTTTTTCTGAGATTTTATAAAAGCTTTTTGTCATTGGTCAGATATTTCCAAACCCCCCTGAATGGACAGATATGGAATAACTTGCCCTCAGCGGGAAGTTTCATCTTAACCCTCTCACTTAATGTTGTTGGTTCATGCCCTGAAGAGTAAGGGTATGGAAAATGTACCTTTTAACCACTGTAAAAGGGGATGGGGAGCTGTTACTTGGGAGTATGCATCAGCTCTTATGATCTATCTCTTATATCAGCATGATCCTGTAGTGATACAAGTTAGCTAAATTCCGCTAATGCTGACCTTGAATGAAGGATTAAAGTTGCAGTGGTTTTGCTTCACTTGTATTGCTATAGAAGCATGCATGTGCCACTTACGTCGACAGTTTATATCAGTATCCTTTGATATTGATGTCTCTATGGGTATGTCTAAAATTTAATATTCAGCTTCCTGTGGATGAGCTCATCCATATAAAATACGAGTCCTTGCTGAATCCTACTTTGAATTGTATATTACAACACTGAGTTCCACAGATTATGTGTTAATTAAAAAAATCTTTTTTTACAATGAGACACAATAAAAGAATAAATGTCACCCCATTATTGTATTATAAGAGAGGGTAGCAAGACCTTCTGATATGTCTTCTTTGCCAACTGTTATTTTATAGTCTATTATCATGTGCTTACTTAGTTGCCTTTTATGTAGACTAAACTTCCTCAGTCTCTCCAGTCCTTCCTATACTCAGAAGTTTTTTCATGCCTCTACTTTTCTCGGAAACCCATTCTATTACAGTAAGCTGAGTGCTCTATTGAGCCAGAGCCAATGTGGTGAAATGAGATCACATATGGTGGACACTGAGCGAAAAGATGCAGTACCTCTGAGACATGTTACTTTTACTGGATCCAGAGGACGTCTTTCAGGACCTGTCTCTCCTGACTGCACTGACCTTTTCCTTTTTCCAAGGCCGCATGAGTACTTAAGCTCATCGGTTGTGAAAACAAATCTGATGAGATATCGAAGTAGTCGCCTTCCATCTTTCTTTGAAGAATTTACAGCCTCATCCCACTGTTTACTAGTGATGTAGACAGGATAGTTGTTCAGCAGCTGCTTGCTTCCCTGAAAAAGTTAAATATTTCTATTACTTGCAAGGCACACAACTACATACGTCAGTTCCAAAGAAAAATATGCTTTTAAGTAGCTGAGGTCCTAAGAGTGAAATGCGTACTGAGGTGAATAAGTAACGTTCATACTGAGAACAGGCACTTTTAAAATTAAATTTGCATTTTCTATAACAAGATCCAGTAAGGTACAATGAACATCTTCTGCAAGAGTAGCTATTTATAACTTGCACTTTAACAGGTAGGTTAAAATGTGTCAAGATCCAATGACTGGAGATACCATTTAAATATAACCTTTCTTCTTAATCTATTAAAATGTGTAAAAAGGTCTTTGAAGAGTGTGATCAAACAGGTTTCTTCTTGGCAGCTGACAGTTAACTACTTCAGAAGTGACTTTTTATAGTCTATTTTTATAATAAATTCATTACTTTTTGTTGAACACACCTATAACTTGACAACAGTTATGTTACTATGAAAACTATAAGGAAAATAAATAAATCAACTATAAAAAAACTAAAAGCTTCATTACTATTAATGAATGCCACATTAACTCAAATTATAGCTTTCTGCAAATGCCACCATGTCAACTGAAAATGCATCTTACTTTTAACCTTCATAAATTATGTGTGCTTTAAAATTCTAACACTAAATGGGTGCAGTGGGACTAATTACAGGAATTTCCATAACCTACACAACATTTATAAGCTATCTTTAGTCAACTGCACCTAAACAGCATTACTTTAGTTCTTGTTGCCTATAAAATTCTATAGTACAGGACAAATTAATTAACCCTAGCTCTCAGTTTTAATGTACTTGTTCACAAGTAATTAAGGTAAAGAAGAAAAACCCTCCTAGAGACTAATTTGCTTTTACAACTACACATTTATTGCGACTTATAACTCTAGCACTGTTTCATTAAATTAGACCTGATTAATAAAAGCTTCATATAATAAACTGTTTAGATGGGAGCTCATGAAGAATGTGTGCAATGAAATACTTTCTTTTTCCATGAGGGAAGATGGAGACGGGTGCTACTCATGGCCAGCTCTGGTAATATAATGCTATTTGTTTGCAGACATTTAGTCCATTTAGTATGAACTTAGAAAAAAATCACTCTCTCTCTCTGCATGTTTACATACCTCTTCGCAGATGGGCATATCTTAAAAAAATCCCCTTTGTACTTCATTCATCCTGCTACTACTGCTGTGCAGCTACAGCCCTAACTGCTTTCACTCATGCTGGCTACTCACAGACCTGAAGGACCAAAGACCAGGTGTCAGAAGCACTGCAATGTACAGGCATTTTGGCCATGTGTTCTTTTACTTGGTTTCGCTGTCATCACCCTGCTCATTTGGCAGCAGAGGAGGAGAGCGGTGAACTTACACACTACTTATACAGCTGGCTCTATGTAAGTAGGGGGACCGCGTTACACTGAGGTAATATTTCCTGGGTCAGTTCTGGCAGACAGACAAAGTACAAGAGCACATGACCCAGAGCAGATAGCTAAACATCCCTCATACATAAAAGCTAGTTTGTTGTCCATTCTAGATTCCTAGGGTTCATCTTCTGGACTATGCAGATTAAAAAATAAAACCCAGCAATGTAAAATGGAAATGAACACTAAGTTTTGACACTACTACAACTTACACACTCCTGCTTATTAGGAGTGAGACCTTTGACCAACTGCTGTGCTAGCTGGGGTTATGGTCTTGTCATCTCTGAAACTAAACAAGATAAGGCCTTGTTCAGTACCTGCATGATATGGGACTCTGGTCCAACTGTCTTCAAAGGGACTTAAAGCTATGTAGGTAACTACCCTAAAAAGTAAGCACAGCATTAAAAGAACTGTGAAGATGGAGGTGGAGTCTTGTAAATATCATTTAAAAAGATCTTGACTGTCTGTGGTTGTCAAAGATCTCATAGCATTTGACTAGAAGGAAACTATTAAACCTGACCTGATTCCAAGAGCCCCTTTTAAAGTTTAAATTTGCTAGAGGTTTTTTTTTTAAGGGCTGACAAAAGGTGGTCTGTAGTGTTCAGGTCCTTTGTTAGACAGCTGCTACGTTCTGCTGCAGGCATTATAATGTTGTTACTTCTGATGTAGGTTAAGCATTTTGAAGCAAAGGCTCTTGATAAATGTACATTAATACTGGTCTATCCAAGAGTCATCAAAATAAACTGCAAAAAACAGAATAAGCAGATTCAGCTTATATGATTATATCTGTATATGATTAAGCTTATGAATAAAAGATTGGAATGTGTTTAATTGAATAAAAGATTCTCTCCTTTCATGACAATTTACTGCACATGGACAATTACAAAACACAGCCAATTTTTGCAATGGATTGAAAACTTCGGTCAAGCAAAATTTTATAGAGATAGGACAATGAAAGCTTGGAATACTTGCAAGTGATCATAGTGCAATTCTCATTAGAATCAAACTTCTTGGAATAAACGAGGAAGAAAGCAAAGAGATGCCGGCTCTTGGAGGCAGATTCTTAATTGGGACAGAGTAACTTCAGTGCTGCTATGACAATCTGGACTCTTTCCAGTCCCTTGCACTGCACCTTGCAGGTATATATGAAAAAGTATATGTGAAAAGCCTGAATTAAACACTGGGGCAACATTAAGTAAAATTGCTCCAGAGCTCAAATAGACGTGCCTATCTTTTGGACAAATGCAAGGCTTAAGTCTCCAGGGCTTAATAATATATATTTAATAAATATATAAATAATATATATTTACATGTATTATAAATACACTTACACTTAGTGTTGACTTTTGGGGATATTACTGTTAATGTCTAATTTTGTTTTAAGTCCCTTGAGAAAAGAAACAGTACACTGAAAACTGTAGTTCTGTCAAAATCACAAGAAACAGAACTAAATCTGTAATGTTGGGCTGTTTGAGATATGAAGTTGAAAAGCATTTTTATTTGCATTTGGTGATATCTCTGTCTGTAGAAAGGTCAGACAAAAAAGTTCCCATTACAATGCAAATAGTGTGTGCGTGTGCCTGTTCGCGTTACACATTGTTGTACAGAACAATTTTGGATTAAATTAGTAATGGCATGATTCCAACAAGTTTAGGACTATGTAAATTTAATCCTTTGTTGCATATATGAAATGACAGTTTAATACTGGGTTTTACATATTTTAGCCTAAGTATATTCCTCCAGTGCCTATTGATTTATTTAGTTATTTTCAATGAAATATCAAATGTAAAGGTATGTAGCATAGCATCATTGTATACTACCTCCGTTGGATGGTCCGTTGGCTGTGGTATCATAAGCTGGTTGTGGTGCTGAAGTACAGTCTTCAAATAATCTAAAACAGTCTGGCAGGGCACTGCATGAAACAAATTGTAATTACTGTACATTAGCTATCTATCACAAAGTAAAACAGAAGTCTTAAAGCAGGGTTGTCCAAGATCTGCTCTGAACACCATTAAGACTTATATCAAATGGGAAATAGCTCTCCTTTTGATTTGTGCATCCATTTCATTCAACAAATATATAACAGATGCTGCATTTCATTTGTTGAAATCTTAGGGATTTTCTGCCCACTGCATTAAAAGTTTTCTTGGTTCAAAAATATAATGTCTATGACTATAAATTAGGTTGGCAAGAAAGACAAGAAAATCTGTGCATCCTGTAAACAGCCCAAACCACGTAAGGGAGAGAACATTTCTTGGACTTAAATCATGCATTCAGTATTAATATGGAAACATGCTGGAATGTCTCTGAAACTACAGCCTAGTTAAATACTCTGCATATATTTAAGTATACACATACTTTTTTCTCCCTAAACATGTTACAAAACCAGGCATTAAACAAACAGTTTTATCCCTCTTCCCCCTCCTCCTCCCTTGCTTTCTCCCCTTGCTTCAAAACTCTCATTTATTTCAATGGAGGTACCACCATCCTATTCTCTTCTCTAGAGGTGATAGGTTAATTAGGTCTGATTCAATTATGAGTCTCTCTCAAGCAGATGCTGCCATATCCCTGATTAACTCTGGAGTATTTTTTGAGATACAGTGCTTTTCTTCTGAGCCACAAACATTGCAGGAGAATTAAACAGATATTAACCCTAGCATTAAGACTGACTTCTGAGAGACTAAATAAATAAATGCTATTTTGTATTTCTCAACCTTGTGTTTTCTTCCAGTTGTTCTTGTAACAGCAGTAGAATGCAAAAAGGGTTAGCTTTAGCTAACAGTCTAAGGTAATACTTTTAAAAAAATCACTAATTTTGAGTGCCTTTTTCAGTATTTCTAGAGATACCTCAAAGGTCTGATTTTCAGGCTGTGCGCACTTAGCACTTTCTGAAAAGCAGACTTCTTTAAGATGTATCAACTTCAGCACTCCAAAAAGGAGGCATCCAGTCCCTGTTCACTGCTGAAAATTTTGCCCTGAGTTCATAATGTGTCTGTCTCTCCTCAAGATTGTCCTATGTTTTGCTAGATCCCATGCCGCTCGTCTACGCAGGGAAAGTTACTGAGCTAAGCTAAGCCAGGGCATTAATTTACAGTACACTAGTTTGCTGCTCTAACCCCCGCAAGTGGATACTCTGGGTGCATCTATACATGCTATTAAGGCAAAGCAATAAACTCCAGTGCTTATCACAGATTTTACTGATCCCAGGTGCTACATTTATACATGCTCCTAGGACCACAGCATGTTGAGCTGTGTCAGAGCACCCTCAGCTGGCAGGGGATCCAGGGGGTCAGTCTGCCAGGCCAGGGCTGCTCCAACTTGCCTCAACGTGTTGCATAGGGGTTGGCTGGGGCACAAAAGTGCTTCAGTGTGGGGGCAGGCCGGCAGGCAGCCCCTGTACTGAAGTACCTTTGTGTCCCAGCCAGCTGTGCCAGCATCTACATGTGCAGTGCTATGGAGTTAATTAATTTCCTGAGGCCTAATAAGGCTGTACATGTAGATGCAAGATATTTACTGTGGAGCTAATTAGTCTACTCCACAGTGAATGTCTCCTATACACATGCCCTCTGAGTGCGCGTTTACTGTGCCTTTTTGCAAGCAAGTTTATTCTGTTTTGGAAATTAAGTATGCTACCTTGCATTTAGTACATGCTTGCCATATTTACATGGCAAGCTTGTGTGGCACAGTAAGCATACTGGAATTTTACAAGCTAGTTTACTGCCCACTGACTTCCCTGTATCAAAAAGAAGGCAGTGTGTTTATCCATGCTTCATTTTCACTGTCATATTTTCACCTTTGTAAGCAAAATGTCAGCTTCACTTATGAAGTCATGTGGAATCTGATAGCTTTTTAACTGGTCTCTCCCAGGCTAAGTAGCTTCAGCAACTTCACTGCTTGCTGTAAGCATCATCACTTCTATACCTCAGAAAGGAATGACGTTACTACACAGCAACATCGTTGAAGCAAGTGAACAAGAAAAGGTGAACAAACATTCTACTGGCCTATTTTTTATACTTATCAAAATATTTTTTTAAAAATAAGTGACTCTTAGGTGACAAAAAAACAGTATTACAAAATTCCTTCAACCTTGGCAATAGCTGAACACTCCTAAAACTGTTATGGCTCAAAATACTAATTTCACATAGGTGCATAATGCACTTCTCTGTATGACTGTTGAGATATTTAGCATATAGCTGGAGTTGAGGAAATGGAGTTTTGCATAAGCCTTTCTTCTATCTGCTGTTTAGCTCTGCTGTCTGTTTCTTTTTCTCAGACACCTGAAGAAGGGTACACTGGTACCCAAAGCGTGTCCATGTCCCTCCCAATCATACAGTTGGTCCAATAAAAGATATCACCCCCATGGCTTTAATTTCTTATGTGATTAGTGAATTAGTATGAGGCAGTTTAATAGTATCTTGAGAGACTATTATGATGCCTAGAAGAAAATATGTAGTATTGTTTTGTTTGTGGAAATGTTAAATGGGGGTAGAAGATACAGATGGAGATATATATTTAAGTGAGATTGAGTTCCTTTGAGAAATGCAATTGTTTCTGGAGATCTTAGTTTACATAACTCGGTCTCACTGGTTTCACTAGCTGACTGCACTTAGGCACTGTCCCCCTAAGGTGGGTGTTATGTGGGACCACTATGTGCTTGGTGAGGGTTTTTATGAGCATTATAAGGGAATTTCTCTTTTTCCCTGGGATTCTTTTCTTATTTGGCTAAGTGAGTGTTCCAAGAGGGTAACATGAGAAGTTTGAAAACTGCTTCATTTCTATTGCTAAAATAGAAGTGGTGTTTCTTTTGGACAGCAGGAAGACATTGTAAGGATTGAATAATACTGCTGTAAGCTATGGATGTAAAAGGAAGATGACTTGGGTGGGCAAGAGCTCACCATTCTCTATCTATTGGGCTTGAGAAGAAAATTAGGAGGAAGTCTTCTTAGACAATAGGAAGATGTCAATGTCCCTAGCTTAAACTGAAATCTGGTCAGATGACACAGTAAGGCCTGGCTGGTACAGAAGAGCTGTGTTCAGACAAATACAAGATATGTCTTACTCCAAACATATTGATTTTGTATGTGCTCATTTCCTGAAATTCCCAAGGATATGGCTAGGCATAGGCTGCCTGCTATTTTGATGAATTCCCAGACTGGTCCATGTTCTTTAACACATATGAGATGCTGAGGAAGGGGAAGGGAGGAGTGACAGCGAACCTATTAGAACCATGGTATTGTCAACAAGATAACATGCAGTACTACATTTTTTAATCCATCTCAGCTGATGTGATGCTGAAGCTTTCCCATTTCTTGCCAGAAACATGAAGGCAAGTTGGCTCAAGCTCATTTTTACAAATAAGTATTTCATTTTTCCTAAGAATAGAAACGTTTTTGGCTTCAAATTGGATGCTCTGAATACCGTGAAAATGGCTGGGCACATTTTGAGGACTTTAATTAGTAATATCACCTTATTTCACCACCATTTATTGTGGGACAAGCAGCTTTCTATCTTCTAAGCTTCACAAATGCCAAACACTATTCCCAAAGTTTTGCCACCTCACTCAATTACACTGGTTTAGAAATGAGGCAACAACATTTAACAGGACTCTAAAAACAAAAAACCCACCAGGAGCATTAGAAGCACTGAGATTCAAAACTTTAGCAAATCTCCTGGAATCTCTAGTGAATCTCCTCCTAGATATTTCTTTATGGCTCAAATGGTATGACTCTGAAATTAATCATTGTCTTTCTGAAAAAGCAAATAAAACCATTTTTTCCAACTCTCCTCAGTAAATATAACATTATCAGAGCCTGGAGTTCTAAACTGTGTGTGAGAATGATTTGATTTTTTAATATATGATTCACAAGGAATTAACATACTCATAACATAGAGATATAGAATCATAGAAAGTTAGGGCTGGAGGGGACCTCAGGAGGTCATCTAGTCCAGCCCCCTGTTCAAAGCAGGACCATCCCCAACTAGATCATTCCAGCTAAGGCTTTGTCTAGCTGGGTCTTAAAAACCTCCAAGGAGAGTCCACACTTTCTCTGTGTAACCTGTTCCAGTGTTTTACTACTCTCCTAGTGAGAAAATTCTTCCTAAAATCTAATCTAAACATCCCTTGCTGCAACTTGAGACCATTGCTCCTTGTTGTGTCATCTGCCACCACTGAGAACAATCCAGCTCCATTCTCTTTGGAACCACCCTTCAGGTAGTTGACGGCTGCTATTAAATCCTCTCTGTCTTTTCTGCTCAAGACTAAATGGGCACTTGTATATGTAATCGGGGTTTTATTCTATGCCCCCTAAACTGAAATGCTGGGTTTCAATTTTTCTGTCACATTACAGTGAGGTGCCTGATCCTTTTATTTTTTTTTTATTTTTATTTTTTGAAAGAGCCAGAGCCTGGGCAGGGGACAGCTGCCAGTGGGCTGAGCAGCCCAAGCTGCAGGGGGCCCTGGTTCTTCCCTCTGTGGTGGTGGCACCCCTTAGGCTGCCCAGGCGAGCTGCTTGTGGGCCAGGTGCTGCCCTAGCTTGGAGGCATCACCTGCCCCAATCCAATTCTTTCCCAGGCCTGCCCAGGGAGCAGTGCCCAGTATGCTTCCAGCAGCATGGATCATGCTGGGTGCTGCCTCCAAGCTGGGACACCACCAGGCCTGTTAGCAGCCTGCCTCGGATGCCCGGGGAGGAGCAACTGCCATTGAGGGAAATACTGGGGCCCCCAGCAGCTCGCCCCCCGTCCGTGGGAGAGACACACAGGCTATGCTGAAAAAACCCCCAAATGATCGGACCCTGCACCACTTCAGCTTTCAGCAGGTGCTTGCTGAAAGCAGAAGTGGTGAGGGGCCCAATCCTTTTTTCTGCGGAATCTGCCCACCTCTCCTGCGGCAGGAGAAGCGAGCTGACAGCTGCA